CTTAGAATACAGTTAAAATCATGAGTAAGTCAGGATTTCCATTTTTTTTTGCTAAATTCCTGAATAATGAGAGAAATGAAAGAAAAAAAAATACTTTTTAGCTTAAATAAATAATTTTGTCTGATAAAGATAATCAAAAATTAAATAAATAAAAAAATTCTGTGAAAAGACTAAAAGGTGTCAACGTTTGTTTTCCATCATGTAGCATGGAGGAGGAAGTGTGATGATGGTGGCATACAATGCAAACTGAGTTAACAAATAAAACATAAAGCCTGCACCACACAATAACTGATTGTTRCGCAATTATAGAAGATGCAAAACAGCACCTGGCAGAACATGAACACACAGGTACACAGGTAATTACATTATCTCCCTCCACCATTAAAGACATTCTTTCAAGAAGAACTGCATCGTCCTTCAGCTGCCTATCATGATCCAAACAAACCTGCAGCAAACATCATAATATATTCCTGAACAGAGAATTGTGAAACTACATTGTCCTTTTCTCCTGTTCATTTCTGCAAGAATACTGAGACCAAAACATACACTAAACATTCTGCAGTAACATCAATTCATCACAAGATGGCGATGTCGTCCTGAACAAATGAGCAGACTAATGGAACTGAAGATTCTGTAAGAATATGTGGTTTTAAGATGGATGCATGCATTCACTGCAGCTTTAAACACTTTGATCCTCTCTGTGACATTATGGTTTAAAAGAATGGAGTTTTAATCGATTTGTTTTGTGTGTGTGTGTGTAAATAAAGTGTGCTAGCTTTAATATGTCCTGTGTAGACAACTTGAATAAACATCGGTGGTCTATATTTCCTGTGTGTAAATTATTTTATTTTGGCTTGTCCTTGTGCAGGGGTCACTAAAGCCAACAAAAGTTTTGGCAAACAACTACCAAAGTATTTGTGCCCTTCCTGATACAACCTAGGCTTGAACCCGCAGCTTTGAGAGTGCAAGATGACTGGATTGCACTGCATGATTTTTAATCAACAATACTTTATTATGCTTTTTTTTGCCTTAACAATAAAAGCATGTAATGCAGCTTTCATTCAACATTATGGGAAAATGTCGTTTAGGATTAATCCTGACTTTATTTTAAAAAAATACAGCTTTGATGCTCTTGCAGGGCACAAAATGCAGTGGCGAACTATATTTAGCCTGCGGGCCATGAAATTGACACATGCCATCATTAATAATAATAATAATAATAATAATAATAATCATAATCATAATCATAATCATAATAATAATAATAATAATAATAATAATCCAAGTATTACAAAGATCTGTATGTATCTAAATGTCAATATGTTCAGTGATTAGTCTGACACAGACATGAAGAAATAAATGATTAAC